GGGGGGGGGGGTCACGATGAGACAGAGATTTGACTCTGCGCATGGACTCCCCTTCTACGATTCTTCATGACATCGGGATAAGGGATTTTTTCTGCCACCTCCTCATGCAACTTTTATTATTAATTTTGTTTTACCATAATTTACTCCAAGAATATTCATAATTTAATTACTGATTACCAAAATATAGTCCTAAGGTCTATCATTTCATCACGGCTAACCATATATCTGAAATATTGTTTGCATGTTCATAGATGGTTTTAAAGTTGATGTATAATTGTTTTCATTTTCCCAGCACAAAAAAGGAATAAAAAAATATATTACTAATCAACTGAGAAAATAAAAATATAGATATGCAGAGAATAAAATAAACAGCCTCAATTTGAATCTATATTCATATTTACAACCAACAAACTCTGGGAAGAAAACTCTCACCGTTGATCTAAAAGTGGAAAAAACCCTAATTTTCTCATCTCTCTCTCTCTCTCTCACATTGTACTTATCTTTCCTCCCGAGATTTTATCAATTGGCAGGTCAAAGTCAACGGAGTCGACTAATGGTTGACCGCATCGTTCACCGTTGATGTGTTTGAATATCTGACGGACGGCTGTTGTTATCTCATCCGCTGATCCTAGCTCACAGTCGTCTTCCATCTGCATGCAAAATTCAGAAGACTTTGACTGGTGTTTCATTATTATAAAATATGCATAATTTATAGAAAGTTTAATGCAATGCGGAAAGAATATTAAAAGCAAAATGTAAAATATACATGAACATATGTGCATGCGAGATGTAGAAATCACATATCATTATTTTTTTTAGATAATCACATATCATTATTTAATAACTTAAGTCTCCATAATTCCCAATAATCTTTGACTTTACACATTAATTAATGGTGATTAAATATATAATCAAATACCTTGAGATTGAAAGAGTAGAAGACAGAGTCCAAGGAAGAGGTGACGTTGAGATGCAAAACCGTGAGCTTTAGCTCTTCAAGCGAGACAATAGCTCGCAGAGTCTGACCTTGTCGTCTCTTACACCACACTTTTAAGCTCACATGGTTCTGTATCACCGCCGTATCCACCTCCGCCGCATCTCTGCCGGCGGCGAGTCCTTCGTCCGACACGGATGCGCTTGCACGAGACGACACCGATTTCATCTTCTCCTCGTTCTCGTCTCCGTTTTCTACCCGTTTCTTGGCTTCGAGGGAATGCAACAGCTGCTCGAGCTGCTTGACGAAATCTATGGCGCCTCCTATAATAGAAGCTTGGTCTCCCTGAGAATAAAAAACGACGCCGTTTCGATGACACGATAGTTGGTATCTTTTTTTCGGAAATAGGTCGACTTCGATATGATTTTATTTTTACCCGTTGGAGATAAGATTGTGGAATGAGACACTTGAGGGAGTTCAAATGCTCATTCATTTGCCGTCTCCGGTTACGTTCGATAGCAATGTGCGTCATTCTTTGATTCTCCACCTCTTCTTCGTTCTTAGGCGCTCTCATTCGTTTCCGTTTGCGCCGTTCTTTGACCGATTCGTTCGGTAGTTCGACTGCCGAAGACGGCGCGGGCGGTGGCGGAGGAGGAGATTCCAACTTGAAGGGCTTGCAATAACCAGGACTTATGGATTCGAGGGTAAGACAGCTTTCTGGTTCTAGGGTTTGGATTTGGAGGAGGGACTGTAAAATGTTTGGTTCTGATTTGAAGGGCAAGAACGTGGTGGGTTTTACGCTTTTTAGCATTCGAAGAAATGGGATACTGTCTTCGATGGTGGCGGCGTCTGAGAACTGAACATGTACGGCTGCTTCTTCTTCTGCTTCATCACTGAATCTGAAGCTGCCGCTGGAGAGAAGAAGTTCATGTTGTGAGCATCCCGCTTCGGAAAAATCGGCATCCATGAGCTGCGGTTGAAAACAAAAACACACATGAATAAGAAACGGAGAAAGATTCAAACTTTAAGGAATTTGAAGGCGAGTGGGCATCTGGGGAATGCTGAGAGGTTTCTTAGACAAGACAGAGGAGGACAGTAAATGATGAAGAAAGTGGAATGTCGCCGAGTGGGAGAAACGTGAAAGTTGCAGAATCCGGAGAATATTGTCGAGAAATTTAAAACCTTTGCATTGAATGTAGTCTATCTGGTACTAGGAACAGTAAATGCCACAACTCGAGAAATCTGGACTTTCGTATTGATGAGTTCAAAACAGCTAAAGGGTAATTAAGGGAAATTAGAAGAAGCAAAAATGCATACACAAGAATCATTTGGTGTGTGGAATCTCTCCATTGGGTGAGTTCAATTTGAAAGCAGTCTCCTTTGACAATATCCGTTGACCAAATCACTGTTTGTAATTGACGAAGCTCAAAGAGGCAAGACAAGAACCCTATATGCATGCACATACACAAAAGACGAGGGAGAGCTATTCGTAAGGTGTTTGGTTTGAGATAGCTTATATATATGTAGAAGAATAAGAGGTTTGAGTTTTTGTGTGGAAGAAGGTGAACGAGGGTTAAATATATAAATTAATGGATGAAAAAATACGTGTTGTAACCCTGAAAGCGTATCTGTAAATACGTGTATACAAAACAAATGCGCTTTGGGAGACTAAGGATTTGCAGAGAGAGAGAGAGAGAGAGAGAGTAAAGAGAGGTCCCCCAATGGCAATGAGTATTATTGGAGATGGCAGGTTTTTTCACCAGTGAAGACAGAATCTGTAGGGACACACTTTCCATGAACAGTACTTCTCATTACACTTAAGTAGAAGAAGAAGAAGAACCTTACTTTCTCCTTCTCCTTTTCTAATTTTTTAGCTTTGCAGAAAAGGCTTTTCCTGGCCTTCTCTCTCTCTCTCTCTCTCTATATATATATATATATATATATATATATATATAATCTTTTATAATTTTATTAAGTTCACCTAATCCATGCTAACGTTAACTTCATGCCAACGTTGTTATACACCATAAGAGCCCGTAAGAATAATCTTGTTTTAAGAGATTTTTTTTAGATTTGTTTTGCTTTTTATTTGAATAAGTTAGTTTGATAAAAGTCCTAGTCTTGTGGATAATGAACATTATTTTAGGATTAAGTTATTTGATTTTTACGTTGTAAGGGTTTTGTTTTGCATTTATAAATAAGAGAAGAAAACCCAATTGATTGTGTGGGGATATTGGAAAATCCTCCACCCTCTCTTCTTCCATGGTTCATTCTTTTTTTCAATTTTTTTAAATAAAAGGTGAATGTTTTTTTTTTATTTATACAAACCCACTTTAAGATTTTGGCATATGTGTAAACAGACAGTCCACGAAGAGTATCATCCAAATTTTAATGTTCATATAAACTTAACCTCTCTATGGTGTTTGATACAAATTGATTATGACATAATATATATAGTAAAGAACAATATTTTTTTTCCTACGAGGAAGCAAATGATTTAAGAATAGATTTGTTAATATAGTTAGGATGCCATACATATATTATAATATCATGTTTGGGAATAATATTTTTGTTTCCACTCGCGACTTAGCACATTATAGTACTTGAAGTTGGTTCCCTTTAAGTGCTTAAACTAATTTTCAACATTAATAAGGATTGTATAATACCAAAAATACCCTTTTGGATTGGGGAGGGAAGAAGACGCAACAAGGTTCCCAACATTGGCGTCCTGATGAAAACAACTCGATTCGAGTGCCTTGGTCTCTCCGGCACCAACAGTACTCCTTTTTCTTTTTCCTTCGTCGCATTCCTAACGTGGGTTTTTTTTTTGTTAACCGGGTTTTCTGGGCCGAGACCCAGACTAATTTCGGAGTCGGGAGCCAGCCATATGATTTGAATTATGCGTTTCCTCCCCAGCGTAGGGTTTGAACTCGGGGCGGAACAGACGTTTTGCGTTCCCGTTTCACCGGTTGAACTATCTAGGTTGAGTTAATAATGTGGGGGTTAAAGACAAAATAAAAACTTAAATTTGTCATAATAGAAAAACATAAAGAAAATCTTAGATTTTACATCATTGTAGTCAACACATATATAAAAGAAAACGTATCTGATAAAAAAGTTTTAAAAAATTACAATATAATAACAAAAATCATGCGATAATGTTTATATATTCGAAAGCATTGTATTTCAAATATTCTTATACCACTTTGTTGTATATGATGAGCGAGTATACACGTCCTTTTCGATCTACGCATAAATGCAACTTTGATTGTATGAAATAATTATCACCCATCCAAAAATCCGAATCATGTGAATCGAAATGTGAGGAGCATCTTGGGATTGGACACCCATGTTTTTTTTTTAATCAGTTCCGTGAACCATAATTCGGAGAGATATGTCCCTTCCTAACAATTTCAGCTGTTTTTTTTTTTCACGTTTCAAGTAAGTTTTTGGTGCAAGAGTGGGGTTTCTTTGTTCTCCTAAATCTCACTTTCGTTGTACGACCCATAATTCAATGATATTTCATCTCTACAGTGTCAATTATAATATATATATATATATATATATAATTCTAGAATTATAAAAAAAAAGTTAAAAAAATGTTGATATTACAAATTCCAAAACAAAGCCTAACAAAACCAATATCTAAATCCATGCGCAGCAGAGCAACAGTATCGTATCGCACAAAAACACATGTTTGTGTCCTGTTAGGCTCGCAAAAATGAATGCTAATTGATTAATTTATTTATTTTTTGTCAAAGGCTAATTGATTAATTTACACTTTTTTTTATGTAACTTTTCCATCTTGATTTCCCTTATTTGGAGACAAATTCCCGAAATGACGTACGTATAAATGAGTCGGGCTGCATACGTATTCCGCGTACTCTGTTATATATGGACATACGTAGAATAAAGAAGAAACGTACGTACGTAAGATGGATGTAATGTGTAACATGTGTATATATGTGTATATATACCAACATGCTGAGATACACACAAGGGATAAGACAAGAATACAATCTAAGAGATATCTTCGTTGGATAAATTCAATGGAGAAAATCTTATCCCTTCCATTACCACACCAACCCAATGGAAATCACGCTGCCCGAATGATAGAATATATATAACAAAATAAATAAATAAATAAACTATGAAATATATAATCTTATCCCTCCCTTCATTGAAACCTTCGTAGCCTCATGAAGCGTTATTACTATGTAACATGTCAATAGCCACACAACCGCTATCCGTTTAATTTCGTGCATCGTCAAGAAGAAGAAATAAAATATTCGATGGTTTATATCAGAACAAATTCATGGTTTTCCCCGTGTATTTTAAATTTTAAATTTAATTTCATTATTTAATCAGTTGATCCTTCCATTTTTTTTTAATGGGTATATTCAATGCATAATGCAAATAAAAAAAAACTAGAAGACGTTAATCCTTTTTTTTTAATATGGTAGAAGGCTTACGTGGATCAAGGAGCGTCTCATAATTCATGAGCCTGGTCTGAATATTTTTGGGATTTATTCACCGACCGGCCACAAAGTCCGCGCCGAACGTGGGCTATACACTCGAACAATAAAAACCCAATATATTTTTTTTTCTGTAGGTCCATTTATTTGATTGCAAATATGTATCGAGGCCTATTATTAAGGCCCATTACGCGTGTCAATCGTTTTAATTGAAATTGAAAATGGTGGGTCGGTTAACTTACATAAACGGAAAATTGAACATGGGTACATATGTTACCGTTAAAGACAAATTAATATTTTATGAACGTCTAGTGGAGCAACATCCTAGGCCTATTGTCTACAGAGGATGGTTGGATAATGACTAGGTAGGGAAAAAAAAAAGCATGGTCTCAAAGATGTGTAGTGTAATCATATAAAAAAATATTAATTTTACATTTACTTAAATAAAAACCTGTCAGAAATTGTAACGTACTCAACAGGAATAAAATAAAAAAAAAAATAATTGCAGTTGTGCAAGTGACCTTGGTCCTTTTTTGTTTTTAATTCTCGATTATCGAATTTCCGCTAGTTTCCAATGAAAGCATTCAATCATGCATGAAGAAGAGATATTATATTGTTGAAATCACTTTGAAGCTGACTAAAGGTAATCTCCCCTTTACTTTGTTGTTGTTTATCGATTTCTCGTGGTTTTTCTTTTTTACTTTATTCTTGAATAGTCACGTCATGCGACTTTTTCCCCTGTTATAAAAGGCTACTGCTTTCTTGATCGCACAAAAATATAACATATACATATACATATATATACATATATGTGGACCGAAGTCTCGACTCTTGTCTTTTATGAATTAACAAACGGATTATCCAACATGACCAAACTTTCGACTCATGCTGTATGTAAAATATGTTTCCTTGTTTTCATATGTATATATATTTTTTAAAATGCACTTGTGAAACACACTGTACTCAAGGTTAAACTATATTTTCGTATTGATCCTAGACCAACTTGACATCGCTGTACAAAGTTGATCTTATAATAATTCCCGTAGAGTATACGCATAAGAAACTTTCAGGGCAAAACATGTCATCGATAATTCATGTACGATGTTTCGTATAATATATTCGACCGTGATTACATATCTTAGGTGTGTATTATATATGTCAGGATACATTTTCTCTGTGTATTTTGTTTCTCTGCTTTATTTTAGCTTAATAAATCGATTGAAAATAATTAAGATCATGAAGTGTTGACCCGATGGTTGAGATGAGAAATGTCATGGGTTCGATTTCACCGATGAAGAGGAAGAGATACGTAATTAATTACGTGACCCGACCAGTGAATATCTCGTTTAAAAAAATAGAGATACGTGTTGTGCTTGAATGCCATGTGGCTTTTATCGCTAAAGGTTAAGTCACTCAAGTGGGGTTCACCATGCAAATGCATGGACGACGTCGATAAATAACGACCCCTCTCGATTCCGATTTTATCATTGCATGCTTTATTTTTTTTAGAATACTTTAATCTTATGCCATATAAATCTATACCACATTTGCATTTGTCAATAGTGCTTGAAATGGAAAAAAAAAATCTTATGATTTTTGGTTGATGTTGATATAGCAATTGTCCAATATTTCAATGATGGTGGTACAGTAGATTGGAGGTGACAAAATTATTTTAAAATTATGGGTTCAACTCTACATACGAATGTGGAGGAGTGCGCATATTTATCTATCCAAAGACTGGTTCTAGATCTTGAGGAATTAGTTGGGCCGTATGTAAAATGAACCTCCCGATTATAAAAAAAAAAAATTACGATGATATCTAAACAACAACGATATATTAATTAAGTACAAATGATGGCCATCAATATGATATTTTCTACATATATATTCACCTTCAAATGTAAACAAATTTTCGAGTTACAAAAAAACCGATTGTCACTGCGAATTTGTGATAGATTTTTTTTCCTAAAAATATCTTTTAAATAGAATAATACCCTCGTTCTTTTTTTTTTAATATATACAATAAAATAATATTTATGAATATAATTTAATGTATATAAAAAAATATTTACTTACCCAAGCTAGCATATTGTCGTAAATATTCTTTTTTTTTTTGCGTCATTTTTTTCAAGTTATATGATCTAGTGGAATTCATACACCAAAGAATCAATCGTATGCTATGTAGCGAATCACGACCCATGCATGCATGCATGCATTTTTTTTTTTTAAACTTTGGAATTGATGATCAACACACGTACGTGTCCTATTATAACTAAATATGTTTCCTTTTGAAGATTTTTCTTTTGGTTCGATAAAGGTGGCCCAAAGAGGATGACGGGAAAAAGCCTCGACGATTATTTATTCATACATTTATATATATATATAAAGCAGAAGTACTGACCTGTAAAGAACAAACAGAAGATAAAATTAATGATTACAATTTCTAGGGTTGTATTTAATAATTAATATCGTACTTGTTAAATAATTATACAATGTATTGGGTCGTCTTCTATTGAAAAACATTGAAGAAACACAAGTGGTGACACTGACAGCTACGAACTGTCCTTTGGAAGCGGGATTTCTTCGGTCCGGTCTCCATATTAGTAACGGTTCTTTGCGGAGAAGCGTCGCTTTTGTGTATAAAACAAACCAATCGAACATCATTTTACAAACAAAATAACACATTGATCGTTACATGCATTTTCACACACACACATATATACAAACCCATACGCACATCATATTTCTCTCCCTATCTTTTTTTTCCCTCATGCTTTTAATCCTTTTTTGTCGTTTTAATGTCAGAATCTTTGTGGGATATTCGGGCTATAGAATATAATATCCTCTACATTACAAAGAAAAAATAGAATCAAATAAAAAATAGGATCATAAATTATTCAATATTAATTTTTTACCTATATTTTCACAACAATCTTGTTTGTAAATGCATTTTATAACTAAAAACGGTTAAATTTTCAATGGTTTTAGATCAATCAATATATGACCAAGTCTGTATTGTATTATTTTATATGGCGAATGAAGTTAATATCTTATATTTCAATTCCAACATATCTTCTTTTGTTTTTTTTTGTTTTACTTCGGTTCCAGCTTTTTATTGGAGAATTCAAAATTTGTATTTTATTGTTATCCTACAAAAAGTTGGACCTTTTGTCCACAATGGCCGAAAGAGAAAAATCTATAAAAAAAAAATGCAGTGGCTAATGCTTTGGGATCATCATATATCATGAATATGAATACACAGTACAAATATAATTATCAAAGAAAAAGCATTAAAAAAAATAAAAGAAAACGATGAAAGAAATTATACGAAAAGGAATACAGTGACTACTGTTTTGGGATCGTCATGTCACATATCATGAATATGAATACAAAGTTACACAGTAGAAATGCAAACTCATCAATGAAAAGTGTAGTAATATAAAAAGAACACGATCAAAGAAATTACGCATATGTATATAGCAATAATCGTACTTCCAAATATATAAGATAGGTTCAAATTGACTTTTGTATGTATATACAGATAGTCAACAACAGATGAATACATTCAACATTTGAATATATATATATATATATATATATAAGCGTTAATAACAAGAGAAAATGAATTTTAATTTGCCCACCGTTTCAGAAGTAGATTAGAAGCTCATACACGGCAAAGATGGAGAAAACCAAATCGTGGGGGCTGCGGATGTGATGTTTGCAATTGCTTTTGTAAAGCATACTTAACAAACAATATTAAAATTTTCAGTTTCATCTCTAAACGATTTGTATTAAATTAATGACAATCTACGAGGATTCCAAATAGCATTTATCAAATGAGATTATTTCAGAAAGCAACCAAAACCAATATAAACTTTGCGTCCATCGACGGAAACCCTCAGCAAATTTGTGTTGATTCGTAATTGACAAATGTAAACTAACAATTCAACACGATCTTTTTATATAAAAAGAAGATCATTAGAAAACAAAATTAAATGATAATAGTTACAACGTAACCATATATTGTTTACATCCAAAATAGACGTTATTATAATGATCGAATATATATATATATATATATATATGTTCATATCCTACTACATGAACAATAACACGATCAAGGAGTCATTGGCACGACCACTGGATGACCCTTCTTATATTGTTCTTCCTCTTCATCTTCGTCGAGTTTAACTGGCAACTTGGTCGCACACTCGTCCATTTGCTTGGTTTTACCCCACAGGAATATGTAAAGACCTAACGTAACGACGACAGATCCCAAAACACTACAGCATATATACAAATGAAACTATATCAGTATTTTATATTAAAAAAAACATTTGTATAAAATGTAGAGGTAAGTGTATATTTTTCACGTACTTTCCGAGATAGATATCGCGATGAAATATCGAGAAATCGAACAGAGTCGCGAAAACAAGTGTCACGGGAGTAAAAGCAGATGTAAAGATAGGCCCTCGCTGTTTGATACACCAAGACATCCCCACAGTGCAAATTCCCTGTCCGACCACTCCCTGCAATATCGGAACATGAAAACATAACTCAAAAGATTCCTAAATAACAAGAAACTTTTAACAACACTTACTGCATAAACAACGGTTATGATTTCTAGTTTGTCTTGGAGGATCCATGCCGTAATATCCCTAGACTTGGTGAGGCTGAGGAGAGCACACTGGATGGTGCCGAAGAAGGATAATATAACGGTGCTCGAATACTGGCATGGATACTTCGCGTTGATCTTTGCTTGTACGAGCATCCAAGAAGCGAAGAAACTGGCTCCCGTGAACAGAAATACGCATCCGATGATCCAATTCTTAGATTTCGTCGTGTGATCGTCGTGTTTATGAACGTTCTCTAAGGCTGAAGCTGCTTGTTTGTGAAAGGATGACAATGGAACACCCTTGTACATGGTTAGGAACAAAGCTCCTCCGATACACACCGAAATTCCCATCATCATAGCCAATCCTGCTTTCCTTCTCATGTTCAGCTTTTCAATCCTACCAAAAAAAAAAAAAAAGATTCCACTTACTCACGATTCAGTTGATTAAAGCATCTACATGTAATGAAAAAAGGGGGTTAATTAATTAATGAATATGGTGGATTTGCACAAAGTGCTTGATAACTTCAATTACCAACTAAATTTTGTGGGCAGTTTAACATCAAATTTAATTGCTAGTATGTCGCTTTATTAAGTATCCCGCGCGTCTCTTGAGAAATATATATAATGTTCTTGCGTATGTTGCAGAGCTTCGGAAAAGATAATCATGATTTATGTATGGTCGAATTAGTAACAAAGCCAAAGGTATATATGTAATCATTCGATAATTTACCTGAATATTAGAGCCATAAAGAAGGTAATTGCGGGCATCATGCTCGTAAAAGCACATCCCAGCGTTGCTGAAGTGTTCGAGAGGCCGAGCAGGAAGAAATACTGCGTCAAACTTGCCCTAATTAAAATTTATCAATTATAATCTTAATTAAGACTCGCTTTGATTGATAAATGAAAAGATCAAGAAAGCAAAAAAAAAAAAATTTATGGGAAAACTTATATATACAAGAGTTTACGTATTGTTACAAACCCGATAAGAGCACTGAAGAAAAGCTGGCACAAGATACTGAACGTAAGCTTCGGTCTTGTTTTCCTGCGTGCATGCAAAAATTCACAAGATCAAACATTTTCACAATTGAAATCACGCACACACATAAATGAATATGAGATGATAATCCAAAACACGTTAAACTTATACGAACCGTTCCCATAAATGGGCGATTGGAATCAAGAACACGGTGGAAATAGCGAGACGATATGTAGCGATAACCATATGGTTAAGACCACCATCGAGGATTTTCTTAATCATCGCGTTAACCGAACCGGTTGCCGAGAAAACAAAAAGCATCATGAATATCGGCGTCCATTTTCCATCGCAATAACCCATGATTACTAATTAATCAACGATCTATTAATTAAAAAAAATAATCTCTCTCTCTCTCTCTAAGTGCCTGTGCCTTGAGTGAGGAAGCACACGAATCCAATGGGTATGGCAACGTAGCATATATAGAGGAAACGAATTGTTTCTTTATTTACATAAATGATTATATTTATAATAAAAAAATGTTAAATTCTCACTTTAGTTTTCCGGTGAAAAAAAGGTGAGTTACGAAACGGTGGATTTTATTGTTCCGGGGATGATGCACGTATTTGGGTAAAAGGAACCTGGGGTTATATATTTGCAATATGCAATTGAATATTTACAATTAATGTTGGTAATTTATTATCATGCGATGTTGTTGTTGTGATTGGACAAGGTATTCCCCACTAATTCTATGAACCCTCTTCAATATTAATTTACATGAAATTTTTTAACACCTAGTGAAAAACTTTGATCGGTGATATTCAGTAATGAATGATGTGGATGAAATTAACAAACTGAATTCGTTCGGTATTATATTAAATTATTTCACAAAACATCATACGTTTTTTTAATGCGTGCAATAAAAGTGAATTAGCATCTTATGTTACATTTATATAATTATATAAGATTTGGATAGAGTTTCCAAAAATTCGCAGAACTTTGTTCTTGGGTTATGTGTTAGGGATAACAAAGAAACTGATGTATCATTGATTTAAAGTACGTATGGACGTTGAGATGCCAACATTTTTATTTGGATCAGAAGAAGGAAATATATATATAATACCATATTTAGGGGAAACTTCTACGTACTTTAATTTCTTCTCTTATTTAATTATACCGAATTTCAGACTAAATCAAGTAAAAACTCGGATCTAATGCAAAGTATTTATAAATTATAATGAGTGATCATATTGTCACATTTCTGGCGACTGTTTCCTCGAAAGCAACTTAGCGAACCTTGAAACACGCGTAACGGTCGATTCTCTGGTTTGGACAACTGAAAATCTGACGTATCTGAATTTAGACGGATGCGTAAAGGTATGTTTTAACCTAAAGTCTGATATGTATTATGTTATACATATGACATACATATATATATATATATTGGTTGGTTAAAAACACAGGAAATTATATTCCTATGTTGTTGGTAAATGTGTGAGTTTGTGGGTTCCACCAAAGTCGTCTGGTCCAAATTGCACCAATATATATTTTCCCTTTTGTTTTCGTCTTTTTTATCAACCTAATTATGTCTATATCTCTTTTAATTGTTTATTTTATTTCTTTAATTTATTTCACATTAATATTGCCTTTGTTTTATTTATTTGCATGGGAAAAGTAAAAGAAATGTAAAAGCAAATGAAAATCAAAATGAAAAAATAGAATATTGAAAAGAAAATAAAAGCGCAGAGGACATATAAACTTTTATAATTCTTTCAAGTAAAATAAGGATAATGTACACTGCGAAATCTCCTCAAAAATCATAGTGGGTACAAAGGAACTGTTTATTAATACTGTAGTGGATCGATATAAGATGATAGTAATCATGGCATTTATCTACTTGTTCATATATATATATATATATTAAATGTTTTAATTTTTTTTCCAAAATTAAAATATTTTGTTTTTTCTTATGTCCCTTTTTTATATTATTGTGACAACAGTAAATGTTCTCGGATATCTCCGTACATAAAGAAATATATTAATCAAAATTTACTATTCCCCATAATTTTCTTTGAGAAGATTGTTCAGAAGGCCACGGTCTAGGGGGGTTATTTTTGGTGTTTGATTGAATTGATTATATATTCCGAAAATAAGGGGTTGGTTGTTTAATTAAAATCCATTTTATAAATAATTTTAAACCCATATTTATTTGTTGATGGGCTCAGAGAACCCAAGGCCCATACCATTCTTCTATCTTCATCTTGTAAATAGGCTATGGTCCATTATAGAGGTCCAAGATTTTTCAATATTCGCAGTTTTGTAACGACCCGTATATTATGTCGGACCATAATAATTTATAAGGTCCAGCATGTTACATATATTTATGTATGTATGATTCCTCAACATTATGAGTGGGACGAATAATTGGCCGTTCCCGATCCCATTCCCCTTTTTATGTCCTTCCCCTAATTTTGTTTTTGAACTTTTTTTTTTCCTTCTCGGCCCTTAATGTTCTCTCTCTTTAAGGAGGAAAACAATGTTCTCTGCCCCTAGTTTTATGCCCACACCTATTTTTTAGTCACGGTCATCATCATCTTCAACATCTAAATTCAGTTACGAACATAATTTAATAGCAATCGCTATATGTATGTATGCGTGTATATATATATATATACGTTTATGTTTAGTTTTTACATGTATACATGTATGTATATATAGTCAGGTGCAAGGATTAGGTGACCTCTTAATTACCACATTATCATTTGGGTTTTACCTTTTCTTCACACACAAAATTTAATGCGGTGGCTAATGGGTAATGACTCACGGACCGATTAGGGAATATCGGATAACGACGGATTAATTGAATATTTGCAGAAGCGAATAAGGAAAAAAAAAAAAAAGGCAACACGTGGAGGGCAGTATTTAGTGCTGTTGGATTTAATTTTCTTGGACTTTTATATCGAAATTAAATGTACACAAATTGATACGTAATATAGGTGAGCTATATATATATATATATATTTTATAAAAGAAGATCCAAAATTTATTAAGAGCGTGTGATGAATACTCTGTTGTTCACGTCAAACAACAGAGAAAAATACATGCATGCTTCTTCAGTGTCAATTAAACGGGTAATCTCGTATCATCGTCACTGTTGTTATTATGGTCGGGAACGGTCTTAGCAATTTCGTTGCTCTCATTCTGCGAAGACAGCTTCGTAGCGGCGGACACAGCTTCGACATCTTTGTTCTTTCCCCAAAGAAACACGTAGAGACCCGCTATAGCGACGGCCGAGCCGAGGATACTGTGCGTGGAATCAAATGGATCAAGCATTATTATTAATAGAAACGAGTGAACGAATGAATGAATTGCGTACCTTCCGAGGTATAAGTGACGGTGCAGGACGATGAAATCGAATAAGGTGGCGGAGATGAGCATAACCGGGTAAAAGGTTGATGCGAACACAGGTCCTCTCTTTTTTATGCCCCATGACGTCGCCACTGTCGACATGGCTTGACCCACCACTCCCTATTCACCCGTTTTCATTCTCAATTAATTTACATGGATATATATATGTAACGTATTTGCATGTGGGGGGGGGGGGCACTTACGGAATAGACGATGACGAGAATGACGAATTTATCCTTGATAATCCAATGTTGGACGTCTCTGGTTTTGATCAAACTCAAGAGAGCGCATTGGAAAGTGGCAAAAACGGACATGAGGAAAGTGCTTGAGTACTTGCACGGATACTTAATGTTGATCTTCGCTTGAAAAAGCAACCAAAACGACAGCGTCGTGGTTCCGATGAGGAGAAACAGGCATCCCACGAGCCACGTCTGCGTCTTGATCTTCACATCGTGATGTTGTGAGGAACCCTCTGATTGAGAGTGAGGGTTCGCTATTGCTACTCCTTTGTAAAACGTCAGCAAGAGTGCTCCGCTTATGCTTATTAGGGTTCCCAGCACCTTGAGCAACCCTCCTTTGCTCTTCAGATTCAAAATTTCCGACCTACAAAAATATAATTAAATAAAATCACAACTTTGTCTAAAAAAAAACATTATGATAAAAAAAAGGCTGAAGGTGATGGCGAACTGTAGATACAGTTGATTAGTTTGCCATTCTGTGCCGTGTGGATTACGATCAAGTTAAAGTGATCCGCAAAGTATTCTTCTAACTCCAAAAGATATTCTATCCGATCGTATCCATGTTGGTGATAGATTCATATGAATGGACAACATAAGTATATATGTGAATATAATAGATCCTTAAATATTATATTTATATATATATATATATATATATATATATACTTTTTTTTGTTAACGTGACACTTATGGTGGATAAATTAGGACGAGAACAAAGCAGAAGAGAAAATACCAACAACAAAAAATGACGTCATTTTTAAAGTTGGAACTTTTAAAAGTCACATTTAATATATATTTTTTCCCTCACGTAAAATAATTTAGGAAAAAGACATGTAATATGATAAGGAAAATGATATCGCAGCATAGAACAGTCCGTTCACCTGAAAATGAGGGCCAACGTAAACGTGACGGCGGGCAACATGCTGATTATGGCGCAAGAAACCGTTGCTGACGTGTACGAAAGCCCAAGTAAAAAGAAGAACTGTGTAAGGCTTGCCCTGCAAATAAAATACACATTAATGATCAATCGTTACAGAATATTTTTTTTTTAATTTCATTAATGAAATATTAGTTTTATAAATTTATTTATATGACAAAAAGGAGGCAGATGGCATGAAAGGAGATGGAAGGTCGAACCCGAGAAGACCGCTGATGAAATGTTCGCACAATATCCTAAATGTAAGCTTTGGTCTTATTTTCCTGTAAGAGACACATAGCGAGATAAGGAAAAACCCATCACGATATCATATTTTCATTTATCTTAAAATCTTATTATATACGTATATTTATGCATGTATATATTTCCATGTATATCCAAAATTAGCTTCTCTAGTACATGATTTTATAAATTGTTTTAATTCTCATGTATAAAACGAATAGATTCAAATCGTCTTAGTAAAACAAATCATATCGATCAAACCGTCTATTCCACCCCAAAATTTGATACTACTTTTGATTATCTATTAAAAAAATAATATATATGATTTACAACAGTATACATATTACAAAAAAAAAAACATAAAGCTAGGAGGGTTTTGGAGAGATCCAAAAACAGAAAACAGAAGAGTTTGGAATGTCATATAATATAATCACGGAGAAGAAAATCATATTATACGTAGGAAGTTCAACAGTGAATCAAATCTATCAGATGCGATTGTTATATATATATACGTACATATGCATGTATATGTATGTGTATATGGATATACCTTTCACAAAAATGAGCAAAGGGGGCCAAAATGAGAGCAGAAATGGCAAGCCTATACGCAGCAACAACCATGTGGTTAATCCCACCGTCAAGTACCTTCTTCACCAGTGCGTTCACTGACCCCATTGCCACGTTTGTCAACACCATTACCGTCACTGTTCCCCATTGCTCTACCCCGTTCTCTCCCATCTCTCTCTCTCTCTCTCTCTCTCTCTCTCTCTCTCTCTCAACTCCAATACGTGTGCTTTGAGTTCTGCAAGCACCAGCCCCCCCTTCTCTTCTTATTTATAAGAAAGTTCTATGGGTGGTTGCCACGTCGGATTCTTGAAGTTACATGTAATTTGTTGTAATTGTTCTCTTATTCTTTGTTGGTTGTCACAGTTTGTTCTCTTGTTCTACGAATGTAAAGTTAGTAAGTTGATTTAAAAAATACATTTTATATTAGATATCCCAAACTTGGCTTGGTACGTTGTATCTTACCAAAAAAAAAATCTATGGATTCATTTGTACCAATGCCCGATTCTTTTACGTGTTGTTTTCAACTGTAAAAAAAAAAAAATTTGATTTACTGGATAAAAAAACTAGGATTCTTTTTTGGCCTCTCTGATCTATGTTATTGTTGTCTCGAAATGACATTTTTGTTTTGTAATTTATGCTTTGTTTCATTTTATGCAGAGAGTTTGGCAGTTATTCAAATGTTCTCTAATCGGCATAATTATTGGACAAAATTATAGATATAATGACTACCTTTTATGAAAATTCTCCTATATTTGAGGTTTGAGACACGTCTAATTTGCTTGTCACGGTCCGTTCGTGTCATAGTTTACGTTTCATACAAATCATTAGCTCTCTTCCATAGTTATCCCAAAATTCAAATCAAGCCTTATTCAAGCAATATATAATAAGATGTCTCTCTCTCTCTCTCTATATATATATATATATATATATATATATATTACTGGAAAAAACCGTTTTAATATTTTTTTTTTAATTTGAACGGAAAGAGCGTGACCACCGAGGGAGCTCATGAAGTCATGATGCCCCTCCACGTAAAAAGACAAGAAGGTTGGAACGGAAAGAAATGCCCTGCATAGTTTCCGGCCAAGAAAAATAAAACATAACACTAATGTATGTAATTTAAATAAATAATAACCATAGTAACTTCGTATATTATTTATTATTTTTTTCATACAGAAAACAGTGCAATCGATCGGACAGTATTCTCTAATAATATGGAACAATTATTATTCGAGAATATAATTTCGGGGGAAAATGAAATATATTCTTCAACATACCCTCGTGCGTTCACAATCCAAATTCTGCTAATTCCAATCTTAATAAACGATTAGAAAGCGCCCGACATTCTGTTTTCTTACCGGCATGTGTTCCGCAGTTTCTTTTATAATGGAAAGAAAATGAATATATTCGGTTTTCTCTTCAGTGTTTTTTTATAACACATATACGCCTATGAGAAAATTCCAATATATATTTTTTTACAGCTAAGAATTTATGGGTCCCAAGTAGAATCCGATTCACTAAATCTTGAAACCAAATGCAACATGTAACTGATTAATCATTCATATTAATATTTATTAATTATTTTTTTCAGCTGTTTTTAAATATATATATTCTCAATATTATTTTGCTATAAATAACTATTTTTAAAATAAATTATTAAAAAACCATTAAAAAAATTTAAATTATTTGTGACGAATAAAAGAAATTTAAAACACAGTTTGGATCAGTTTATTTCTTGTCCATCCTAGTTCATAGATTATTTTTTTTAATACAGAATAATATGACGATTTGAATAATGTTTTTGCAATTGAAGACGGTAGTAACAAATAATTGAAATTATAATTATGTTATTACATTTTTTGTGGCGGGTTAAAATATACCACATTGCAAGGTTATATTTGACATTCTCAAATTTATTATATACGTTTGCACATTTATTAAAATCTTTTAATAAAAATATTATCGATTTATTTTGCTGATACAATTTCCATATTTCACAACTTTTTTTCTAATATATTTATCTCATTTTCATTATTTTCACTTTTTTAAATATAAAATTTCAAAACAGGAAAATTATAGAACATATTATAGAGCATAATATTCATAAGCAACATCGGTGATTCTATTTTCATCAACGCCCTTTCTCATACTAAATAGACGAGACCAGTCTATGCAAAAAAAAAAGAAAGCAAGTATTTAGATTCGACAATGCAAAAAAGGTTTAGGATTCACGTTAGATATGTATTATGATTAGGACAAAGGATTTTATATCATATTTGGCTCACCTGAATGTACTTTCTTTTTTCATATTATATATTCCCTTGTTTTCTTATTATATATATATATATATATATATATATAAGTTTTTTTTGGTAATCGAGTATATTGAATCGATGCACAAAATCATGTCGGAATCAGGACCAAACCATATGATTAGAATATATACATCTCTCTCCAATTTAAAGTTTAAACTCGTGATGAGACATATACTTTGCGTTTTGGGTTCATCGGTTGAACTAAATTGGATTAATAAGTTCTAATTTGTTACCATGCTTTTTTTTTTCATTTTTCAATTATTTTTACTCATGGAATATATTTCCAATTCAAGAACTCTATTTTACTATATTAGATATTTGGATATTAGAAAAAATATCAAAGTCATATCGTGTTTTTTTGGGTAAAAAAACGTGTCAATAAAGTTTTTTTTACTAACGGTACGCTTACCAGTCTGATGTAAATTTTGGATGGGTTCCTGCCATGTGCTCCGAAACGCTGTTCTTTTGAATTTCTTGAGAAAATTCATATTTAAACAGGTGACACGTGTCACTATGTTATATATCAGGTATGATGACGTGGCGATCTGATTGTGCAGAAAATGACGTGCGTCCACGTCAGCTGTGTTTCTGTAACCAAAGGTATGTGGGGCCCCTGATTACTTTTGATTTTCTAAAGCTTTTGTTGGCAGTGCACCAGGAATGGGCCATCGTTTCATGCTAATATTTTACTATTAACCTAATTTCTATATTTTACTAATAAAATATTTAATAAACGCTAAACTATGACTATAACCATATAGTTTTTAAATTTACTCAAATATATAATATTGTGTTAGGTCTTCTCTCTATACTCCAAATTTCATAACTATTAATTTATTGATATTTAACGAGATAAAATATAAAAAATTTACATTTTGTAATATTTTAAAAATTATATTATCTATATATCAACATCTTAAATTTGAATATATATATATATACAGGACATACCATCATGTATTTTGATAATATTATATCTCATTATATTTTCATTTTACATCGAAAAACAAATAAAGATTGAAATTTAATAATCAAATAAATATTTGTTGCAAATTCTACTACGACAAGTTTTTTTTTTTTAAATCTTTATCCTTTATGTTTCCTTTTTTGTGAAGCAACTATCAAACTTTTTCATATTATTGGAACGTTATTTTATGTAATGTTAACGCATATAATTCTTCCTTTTATTGTTAGCCATGCAAAAAAAAGACGATGCTTCATTTATTTGGTTTTCTAAATTGATGTGAATTTTCTTTCTTTCTTTCTTTTATTGGGTTTCTGTACTGCATGTCAATTTTGATTGACTGAAGTCTCTAAACTGTCTTTTAATTGTCTGCATCTATTTCAAGTGGCGCTTAAGATCACGTAAGAACATCTACCCACGCTTTGACGAACATCAAAACATATATTAACCATTATATTTATACACACACACACATGAATATTTAAACCAAATACGTACGTGATCATATTAGTTATACAAATTGAAATTTGAGAAAAAAATATCGTAGCATTTCATTGTGAGGTAAAAAAAATGATCTGACGTGTTTATTTAGATGGTAGTATGGTATGTAGGATATTTTTATGATCAAACAGACAAACGTTATATATAATCTGAAAATTTATTGAACATTTGATCTAATTATATCTCCTAGAAAAATAAAAAAGTTCAGGTGAATATTTATCCGCAAAAGAAAACTCAAATTTGGGTTAATTTTTTTTATCCTATCTTTTATCGGTTAATACACCTAATGTTTTTTTTAATAACCTGAAAATTCGCCCCTTTTTTGACTTATTACATATTTTTTAGAAGATTGGGGAACTTATGTGAATGACCCTCCTAATCTTGGATACAAACGGACAAAAATATACAAGAAACTCTTGCAAATCGACTTTGATTTTTTTTTTTTTTGGTTACTGGATTGCAAACATCTTTTGGTTTTGGTGCACCATATCATAGATTTGTCGAGATCAATAAAACTAGTGATTGGACAGTCAAACATTGAAAGGAAAAAAATGTGTCACGCAACAAGACAAACGTATTGACAAAACAATCGAAATGAAATGAAAAGCCCGAGGGAAAGGTTGCTTTTCATTTGGAAATTAGAATCGTCTCATCCTCATAATTTCTTTTTCAAAAAAAATTATTGACCCAACAGTTACAATAAAACTATTTAAAAAAAATATTGAGAAAAAAAAAGGAAATATAGAAAGTAATTAAGAAAGAAGACGAAGAAGAGAAACATTAAAGGATTGAAGGTAGTGGGTTGACATGGAACACACTAAGGACAAATGGCCACAGCGACCATTATGGACCTAACTGGTCGGCCATGTAGATTCTTAAACCATGTTTACAAAAATAATTATCATCATTTAGGACGTAACGGATACAGATAATAATTAAGCTGAGCTTAATTTATCCGATAATGGTGGGATTACAATTATCAGCAAGAAAGCTAGCTGACAATCTCTGCTGATCCAATGTATAAAAATGCATTTAAGTCATGCACTAATCCACTGTTTAATTAACTAATCATGGGTCCTCTCTTAAATTTAGTCCGAAGACACTATATTAATATAATATCCATTTGTTTTAGATTAATCTGATATGGATTCGAATTATATAGAAAAAATGTATGTACTGTTCTTAAGGAAAAAAAAGTATTTGAATAAATTTGAATACAGTACAAGTGCTCCTGCTTTCTGATTATTTTAATTAAGATAAATTGCCCAAAATCATGCAACAAAAAAAAAAAAGTATGGAGATGAGGAATTTCCTTCACGTGGAGAAATTTTACACGATTGTTTGACTCACCCACATATATATATGTATGAATGTATATATGTTTCATGTGACTTATTGTCGAGCATACACGCGCATGCGCCTATACATATGCACTATATGTATATACACGCGGGGTAATGCTGTCATATATATATATACACGCAGAATCATATGTAGTAACATAGTTTGGTCGTGTTGGAGATATGTGTGTGCACATCAATCTATTCTTGTGTTAATCCAAAGTAATTTTCACTGTTTTTCCTTTTGCATGCATTAAAGCGAAAACACTACTTGGCTGAACTGCAGGCTTGAAAACTAAAACTATGCAAACGGAAAACTTTAAAATAAAAGGAAACAAAAATAAATAAGCAATCTAATATATAATCCAGAAGATAGATTATAAATATATAAATTTAAAGATGCATTGATGACACCTAACTATTACTGGAATATTATTACGTCGCTTTTATATTTGTTTAACAATAAAAGCTTTGGAGATATAAGAATATTGTTCACTCGTTGGATGTCCATGATTGATGTATATATATACCATGGAGTGCAAAACTTTATAATATACGATTTAATTAACCATGGTGGGGATGGAATCCATTATATATATTTTTTTCTGTATCTACTTTTTTTGTTGGTTAATTCTAACAACATTCCAATATGATTTACTTTTAAAAAATAAAATTATAAACATTCCTCTTAACTTTTTTTTGCACACGCAACAGAGGAATATCCTTGTCAGAATTTATTTCTTCTCTCCCATATTTTCCATATCATAAGTACGAGATAAGAGGGTGAGAAGAGATTTCAATTGACAATTATTTGTTTGCAACATTCGAGTTCGTGAGCCTTGGGATTATGATTTTTGTATAATACACTTAGTGTTGGACACGTGAACTGCTAAATTTAATAAATATATAAAAGGGGAGATGAATATTCACTGCAACATTGGTAATTAAGTCCATATGTGGTTACAACTTTTCTATTTTTATTTTATCGTTTTATAATCAATTCGACAGAGAGGTAATAAAATACGTAGAAACAAACTTAAAAAAGAAGAAGAAGTTATGTTGGATATATCCTCGGGGAAACGAAGTGGGCTTCCTCTGTCTTCCATTTTGTATTTTCAAAAGTATCTTATCTTAAAGTAACCATAACCAACACACCATTACTATGAATTTAATATATCAAATTGGAATTAAAATAAAAGACATATACCCTAGATATTATAAACAAATTTCTATGGTTCCGTAGAGTGCTATTAAACAAAAACATGGTCACCCTCCTTTTTGGGAGAGAGAATGCACTATAGACTATATCTTATAATTTATCCTCTTTTGGAAAGCCATGTAATAATAATAACCTTCAAATTGATTTTGATGGCCATTAAATGTAGTAGGTGTTGATAATACATTGAATTAGGTGGTTAATTAAATGGCGTGGAGTTATAATAAAATTGTTATTCCATTTATAGCATATGTATCTGTATCCCCTTTGTCAAATTACTGCTTAAGTCGGAGACAGACGCATGATTATGCATGTTTCTCTATTTAAGATATATGATGATTTTCAGAGGTAACTATCCACCTCCTTCTATCATTTTCATTTGATAGGGTGATAACTTCGGAAGCATTTTCACCTATAATTTATTGTTATTTCAAAGTTTTAAAAAAATAAATCCTAAAGTTTTACTGCTTTTGCTATACTAATTTTTTTATTAAAAAAATCTCCACGCTAAGTATTGTTGCTTCGCGATTTAGATATGGTAATTAGTGATAGATGTTTAAAGAATATTATTAAAAATAATATAATATAGTTTTTAATATAATGACAATTGGGTTGGGTCGATTTTTTGTTTCATTGTTGGGTTTTGGCCCATTGGGCTTCACTAAAAGCCCATTGAAACCCCGCAATTATGGGTTACCAACAAAACATGCCAACTTGTATTCCTAGTCTCGAAACTCCGGCCGACACAACACTGGTAATTTTGTTAAAGAAAAAACTTGTTCTGCTTCTGAGCACTGTGGGGACAGAAGAGTGTGACCAGTTTAGGACTCTTCCCTCTCGAAGCCTTCTCTAACGATTATTTTCCGACCTTGAAATTCCTGCAAGAAGATTTTGATCAGTGAAAAGAAGAAGGGCAGTGAGGAAAAAAGCCAAGATTTCCAGAGATCGTGAACTCAACTGATCCATTCAAAGATACTGCAGCGTCACGTTCTTCGGGATTTGAATAAGAAAGAAATGCAAAGACTCGGTTACTGGTACCCTTTCGGTCGTGTAGTACTCTCACACTAACAATGGTCCCGAACCCGCTAAATCGGTTCCTCAAATCACCTGGTTTAGTGTCCCAGGGGAGATTTCCGACATAAATCTTGTATCGGCTTTCATATATGAGAATCTTCTTTGGAGTCGAATTCAACACTGCTGTGTTTTTTCTGGTTCCGGGGTTCATCTGAACAGAAAATTTGACACGCATTTCCCTGCCACCAACCTCCTACAAGACAAGAAAGCTAGTGTTTGAGTTAGATTCCATGAAGAAGGAGAAAAATGGTTTTCTGGTTGAGCTGAGTTTGGTTTGGAGCTTACTGTTCCATCAAGGGCAGCAATGGCGACCTTTGCAGAGTATACAGAACTCATCGTGACATAACCACTTCCTCTGCTCTCTCCTGTCTCGGGATTTCGTGAAACCTGCAAACCATTGAACATCAAGAAACATGCTTCAACTGAAGCATGGTAATTCGCTAAGAACAAAGATTTGTCGTTCATTTCTCTTTGGTTTTCCAACTAAACTTGTGGAAATCCTAACTATCAATGTGAACCAGGCCTTGATGAAAAGACTTGTTCTTCAACCTCTCTATCGGATATTCGATCTTCAGCGTATTGTCAAAGCTTAGAAATCCTATTAATTTTCAGCTGAACAAGTATGATCGAGTTCAGCCACTAAAATTGCATCCATTCCATGATCGACGCAATCATCTCCAACACATTCAAATGAGTGCCAAGAGAATCGAACACACTGAACGATAAGTAATTCCAAAGCGCGAAATGTTGGAGAGAGAGGGAAGGATCAAGAGTTCCAGAATTACCTCAATGGAGATTACAGTTCCATAAGGTTGGAACATCTCGAGAAGCAGAGGAATGTCGTAGCTTCTCGGAATATTACACACGTACAACTCGCACGGTCTCTCTTTCTTCTTCCCCACCTCTCCATCGGAGACGACGCTGTCTCCGTCGATTTCTCCCCCGCCTTCTCCTTCTCGGTGAACTGCTACCTCGTTCAAAACTGAGAAATTCGAAGAAGAGATCCTCGTTCGCAGATTTTTAGCAACCAACCGGCGAGGAGGAGGAGAGATGTGAAAGGAAATTGAAAAGGAAGAGATTAGGGCCTTGGATTTGGGAACAACATTGGAAGAAAATGGAGACGAAGGAGATAAGCGAATGGCTACGCAGGAAGCGGCCATCATCGCACCAGAAAAGAAAGAAGGTAATTTCGAGAGTAGAAAACCTAGAAAAATTAAAGGAAAGAATCGGGTGGGTGCATTTACCCGCCACAAACCCAATCCGTTAAGAACCTCTGGACAAAGTGGAAGGTCTCTCATGGGCTTGGTGGGGTGAGAGGAGAGAGATAAATAACGGAAATGCCATCGGCTCCCAAGTTATTTTAGAAGGTTTATTCATGGTTGAGAAAGCGATTAGGATCGATGAGCATGTAAGCCGATAGAGCCTTACCACCGAAACGGTGGATGATGTGTTCGAAGTGTTAGACAGCAGTCCTTGGGCGGTGTCGGAATGGACCCGAGAGGGCAACGGCTCTGAACATAAACGAAGGGATGGAACAGTGTCGACAAGGATCCATCCGCAGAGAATGAAGCGAAGGATCCATGTGATTCTTTCGTCTATTTTTTTTGGATAACCGGAAACTAATCCCGGGATCGGAAACAAGCCATGTGATTAGTCCTCTTATCTACTTTTCTTTAAATTCATTTTCCCATTAAGACTTCAAAAAACTGGACGATAGAAGAACCATTACCCAAACATTTCACAAATACATTCATGGATTCAAAGAAGAAGAAACAACCTCACCACTAAGCTTCAAATGATCCAAAGCGTTTCGTCTGTTTTTCTTTTTAATTTAACATAAATAAATAAAGGAAAAAGAGCACCAGCGGCAGAAGGAGGGAGAAGCCTCCGTCTTTAAAAAACAAAAGGGAAGGATAAAGTCATCCATTCAGACGTGAGCGGTACCTTGAGTGAACTTAGGGTCCTCGCATCTGTAGCGACCGTCAGGACCAATCCCGAAGCCTTTTGGATCAGCAAATACATTCTCAAGAAGCTGACTCCGTGCTGGCTGTGGACTTGCGTCTGCAAACTCCACAGCATCCTCCACCACCTCGTCTATCTTCTTCTCTATCGACTTCAACTCTGCTTCACTCGCCATCTTGTTCTCTATCATGTACTTCTTCAACGCCGTTATCGGATCTCTCGCTGCGTATTTCGCTTTCTCAGCTGCATTCATGACAACATTCCCAGAGATGTTAATGCTGGATTAAAAAATAAAACAATGCCCAGATATGCCTAAAGACAGCAAATCCTAGGAATCATATCTGTCCAAGTAATGCTAGGCCCCTACCAAATTGTTCCATAATCTGTTCACAATTTCATAGCGAAAGGTATGTTTATACCCACATGCAGGTTATAGTGGCATTGGCAAGCTTAATACGAACAAAGATAACTCTAGAGGAAGCGAATTTTGATTGAAACGGGGTTAGGAAGGATTACGAAAGTGGTCACGGGAATGAATGTCAATGAAGTGCTTATACCTGCATCACGGAGCTCATCGGGATCAGCCAAGGAGTGTCCTCTGAACCTGTAAGTCTCACATTCCACCAAAGTGGGACCTTCCCCTCTCCTGGCTCTTGTCACTGCTTCCTTAGCCACTTCCCTCACCTTCAATACATCCATTCCGTCGACGTGAACACCGGGCATACCGAATGCTGGCCCCTTCTTCCATATCTCGGGATCAGAAGTTGCCCTCAGGTGGGACATCCCAATCGCCCACAAGTTGTTCTCCACAACAAAAATGATTGGCAGTTTCCACAGAGCAGCCATGTTCAGACACTCGTAGAACTGTCCGTTGTTACAGGTTCCATCTCCGAAAAATGCAACCGTGACATCTTCACAGTTTTCTTTCAAGACATCCCTCTTGTACCTAGAGGTGAAGGCAGCGCCAGTCGCCACTGGAATCCCCTCGCCGATAAACGCAAACCCGCCAAGCACATTGTGTTCCTTGGAGAACATGTGCATGGATCCACCTTGGCCTCTGCAGCATCCGGTGGTCTTGCCAAAGAGTTCGCTCATCACAGCGCGAGCAGGAACACCCTTGCTAAGGGCATGGACATGGTCACGGTATGTGCTCACGACAGAATCTGACTGTGTCAAGAGCTTGATAAACCCAGTTGATACAGCCTCTTGACCATTGTACAAGTGAACGAAACCAAACATCTTCCCTCTGTAATACATTTGAGCGCACATGTCCTCAAACGCTCGTCGACAGTT